ATAGTGATTAAAAAACAAGGTTAAGATTACATATATAAAGTTACTAGGAAAAGTCTTCTATTATTAAAATAGTCCATTACTAAGAATACAGTCTGTCTAACATGTCTTTCTTTAATTTATTCCTAAAACTTCTCAAAGATGGGAAACTTCTTTAATTTATTCTTAAAACTTCTCAAAGATTTGTTTAGTGTTATTGTCCAGATCATTCCATAGTTTCGCCCCTCTATAATGAAATATTCTCTGGCCAGTGGTGGTATTATAAATCGGTATTTGGAGGAGCGCTCGGTTACGAGTGTTACATTCATGTATATTTGATCGTTTACTAAATTTATTGCACAAGTAAGGTGGAGCTAGATTGTTAATACACTTGTACATCAAAACTGTATCTCTAAAAAGTAAGTGTTCCTTAACTGGAAGCCAATTCAGTTCTTGCAGTTTTGGTGAGATATGATCGAACTTCTTGCTGTTTGTCATGATCCTAGACGCGAAGTTTTGTAGCAGTTGCAGCTTGTTAATATTTTTGGCCGAAGTGTTCGACCAAGCAGAGGAGCAATAAAGAAGTTTATTCATTACCAATGCTGATACCAAGATGGATATAGTTTCTTTATCAAAACATTTGCTAACTCGGTTGATCTGTGACAATTTGGACATGAAAGAGGAGACTAATTCGGTGATATGGCAATCGTATGACATGTTGATGTTCCTTATTATTCCTAAATCCTTGGCTGAAGGAACTGGCCTGATAGTTTCGCCTAGAACATTTCGGCACATATCCGTAGGGAGAATGTGTAACTGTTGTCGCGTTTCGATAAGTAAATACTTGGTTTTCTCCGGGTTAATAAGTAGATGAAGTTCAGAGCAGCACTTTGCTATACTCGGCTGAGATCTTCCTGAAGGTACTCTTTTGTGTCAGTCGCGTCGTCTTTAACACGAAATGACAAGAACATCTTTGAATCATCAACATATGAATTAAGGGAGCTGTGATGTGGGGCCAGTGGTAACTCGTTTACATAGATGCTAAACAAGAGTGGAGATAAAATAGCACCCTGTGGAACCCCGTGAGTGATGTCAAGAGATGACGAAACAGACGTTCCAATACGGACAAATTGTGATATGCCCGTTAAGCAGCTTTCGAACCACTTCGCTACCTCAGGAGATGCGCCAATGTGTCTTAGCTTGTTAAGCAATGTTGGGTGATGTACGCTATCAAATGCCTTCGATAAATCTAACAGTATAAGTGCAGTTACAGATTTCTGGTCCATAGCTTCCAATATGATATCATCAACCAAAACGTTCAAAGTTTCCGAGGAATGATATCTTCTGTTACCGCTTTGATGCGATGTCAGACATTCATTATGGAACAAAAATGTTGTAAATTGGCGTGAAACGACCTTCTTGCAAATTTTTGACACAACTATAAGTAAGGAAAGGGGACGATATTCGTAATTGCGCCAACACTGAACGCAAGTTCGCGTTGCCACGTGATGTTAGTCATGTTAGTTTTTTTAATTTTTTGTACAAACTTGCAAAAAATAGATGAAATTTGAACACTTTTAAATACAGAAGTGAACTATCAATTTCTAAAATATCTAAAGTTGGTATATTATTTTGGTTTCTATGGGCTTTATTTTAATGTAAAATTCAAGACAAAACTCTACGTAAAACGTTTTTAAATGTGAATTGAAATTAACTGCTTTTTGCCGATATTTATAAACTCCTCAACTGGAGCTTCAACTTATTACTCGCACTTTGAAATGAAATAAATTTAATTCGTACAGGACGCTAATGAAAATAATTTGGTTTCCTTTTTTCATGAACTTATACAAATTGAGGCTGTTCGTTTGCTGCGTTCCGATATCGTTCACTTTTGTAGTCCATCTCGTGGAACTGAAATATTTTTACGGGAACTAACACTTTTGAACACGCTGAGTTCAAATCACTGATTCAAATCCTAAAAGTTCCCGCTCCGTAGACCTTGCGTTTTCTTACAAACTGCTATTTTATCTTCACTAATTTCACGACAAATTTTTTCTTTGTTCAAGGACACGGATGGATGATGACACACGATTATGTCATTCAAAAGGAGTTTGTCGGTTAACCGAGTCAAATCCGAGTCCGAGTCAAATCCGAGCCCGAGTCAAATGTCCGAGTCATAGTTTAATCTTTGGTCTTTGCAGTTCAATACTTAGTACCCTAATCCTAACCATAATCCCACTTCTAACTTACCCTAACCCTATTCAACTGTGAATTTTATTCAATTTCGGAGTTTGTCGGTTTCTGACCCACTCAAATCCGACTTCGAGTCAAATGTCCGAGTCACTGTTTAACTGTTTTGTCGGGAAAATGACTTAGTACCCTAACCCTAAACCTACTCCTAACCCTATTCGACTGTGAATTTTTTTCACTTTTGTCTTTTTTTATGCGACTCGGGCGTTTGACTCGGGCTCGGGACTGACTCGGACTCGGATGTGACTCGGTAAATGGATTTACTCCACTCAAAAGGACCAATTTCTATTAACCATTCTTCCTTTTAACAAGAGATCGTTTCGTTCGAATCATTTTGAGTTATGTAATCTTATGCATGTTGGACGTAGACAACATATCTTGTTTACAACTTTGGGAAGGTACAGAAAACGCTATCTAACATCCTCAGTTCCAGCGATATCTCTACAAAATCACAAGGACGACATTGGTAAGTCTTTTGGATATGTCACATGGCTATGAAGACTTACGACAGGATCTATCTTAAATAACCTTAAACTAGAAGAATAAATGTACACATTAAAGAGAAAGAACAATACGAAACTGATACAATCTGCTCTGTAAACTTACGACGAAGTGGAGGAACGTGTGTATGAGCTGTTTATTCGGTGATTTCAACTTATATGGAAGCCCTTTTCCCCAAAACATTCGCTTATCACACAGAGTAACACCAACTGATATACTAGTTCAAATGCAATGATAAGTTACAGTACTATAGTATATACCTCTTGAATTGCGTCTCAGAAACTGAGTAGGAAATTTAAATGTTGACCCATTATGTAAGATTACCGTTTTACATCGTATAAACATTTTGATCGCATGTAAAGAATTATTTCTCAGCCCAGAGACATGGCATTAACGTCCTTGTGATTTTACAGAGATAGAGCCAGAATTGAGGATTTTAGAAAGCGATATCGGTGCCTTCCCAAAGTTGTAGACTTGTTGTAGAGGGGATTTGTTGTTTACGTCTAACGCGCTTGAAATTACATAATTCAAAATGTTCTGAGCAAAACGGTCTTTTGTTAAATGCAAAGACTGGTTCATAGGAATTAGTCATTTTCAGTTATGCATTCGTGTATCGTCATCCATCCGTGTCGTTGAACAAAGAAAAAATTTGTCGTGAAATTAGTGAAAATAAAATAGCAGTTTGTGAAAAAAAAGCAAGGTCTACGGAGCGGGAACTTTTCGGATTTGAACTCAGCGTGTTCGACAGTGTTAGTTCCCGTAAAATTTTCTAGGCACTTTTCTATGTCACAGCAAACGGCCTAAAAAGTTAATTTAACTAAGAAGTCTATATTAATACAAAAGTCATACATAAACAATTGAAACAAAATTGCCCTATACTTTAGAATTTCTGATATACTATATCAATTCTTATAAACGTTTACGTTTCTAAATTGCAAAAACGTTTTACAATTTGTTTTGTGAAACGATTTTCCAAGTTTTCTTACATGTATTTTTTATCGGTTTTTTGCTTTCTTCACTCCTGGCAAACAGCCATATTTTGAGATCAGTGAGATGTCGAGATGACCACCCACCGAAACACGCACAGTGATCCACGCCCGCGATCATTGATGAACTTTAGACTTCACCAATGCTTTCGTTTCCCCCGGGGGTAAACAGCCGGGCGGAATTAGTACCCTCGTCCCAGGCTTACGCCTAGAACGCCGGTCCGCGCCGTTGGCTTGGGAATTTATCACAGCTTGAAAGAACATCACAAAATTAGTAATATTCCGAAGTTTCGTTGCGAAATGTTGTAAAATGCGTATAATATAGCCCTGCAAAATTTTCAGTTATTTTGTATTACGCACGGGAAATTGATACTTTTTTTCAGAAAGTTAGCGATATCAATTTCCCATGCGTAATACAAAATGACTGAATAACGGCAAACTTCGCAGGGCAATATCATCCGCATTTTACAACATTTTGCAATGAAACTTCGGAATATTACTAATTTTGTGATGCTCTTTCAAGTTGTGATGAAATTTTTGTCTAGACTTGTCTAGATCAAAATTTTGTTCATTAGGGAATAGGTCCATTCGAATTACATATTTTTATTAAAGTCTCATGTCATTATTAAAGTCTCATGTTTCACTTCAATGCAACCTTCTGAGACCAGCTTCTATTAAAGCGATAAGTCTGGGATTTTTAAAGAAAACGAATGACTAAAAAATTTCATACAACAAGGGTCTACAACCAACGTGTGCATAGTTTCATTGTTTATGATGAGAAAATGTGTCCCAGCTATTGGCTTAAATGCCTATAGCTGCATGGTTCATAAACAATGAAACTATGCAGACGTTGGTTGTAAACCCTTGTTGTATGAAATTTTTTAGTCATTCGTTTTCATTAGTTTTCTTCTGATATCATTATTCAATATAATATAATTATTCGTTTCTTTTTTAGTAAGCAAAGGGCGAAAAATCCATCACAAGGAAATCCAAACCAAGACGGAACATCTGTACCTGCAGGTAATATTCGTATAGTGATCGTTACCTCAAGCTAACCCTTAATTTTACCCTGCTAGCCTTTAACTTGTTTTAATTCTTGATTGAGTCTGTTTTCTTTCATGTACGGAGGTGATTATTTTTAATAATCACTTTGAATATTGCTTGCATGAGTATTGCTTGCATGCATTTTAATTTTTTGAAATTCTTTATGAAAATCATGTATCATGAAAGTTTCCTGCCTAGCGACCTCTAAAAATATAATAAAAGCTTAGACTTAGTCACGGACGAATGGCGAAGTTCCATGACTTAGCTACTTTAACCACTCGGTGAGGAGGATTCAGATATTACCTTATATGTCCTCGTGCTCAGAAAATAGTGTGGGAATTTAAAGAGACAAGAATTAAAATTGGTTAATTGCACGAGTGTCATGCGGATGGAGAGTAGGCGGAAAATCAATGAAGAGTGAAAACAAAAGGACGTATTTCCATAATATTCCATTTTATTTATATGTATGCAAACACGTAACTTTCGCACACCACAAACTGTCAAGCTGGCAACCTAAGAAGATCTCTAGTGGAAGTGTTGGTGACTATTCAAGTATTCATAACAAGTTAAGTATATGTGTATTTACAAATTGTTTAAGGGACTGATTAGCACTTTATTATCATATACAGCACATTTAATAAGCATTATTAAAGTCTCATGTCTCACTTCAATGCAACCTTTTGAGACCAGCTTCTATTAACGCGATAAGTCCGGGATTTAAGCCTATATAGCTGGGACACATTTTCTCATCATAAACAATGAAACTATGCACACGTTGGTTGTAGACCCTTGTTGTATGAAATTTTTTAGTCATTCGTTTTCATTAGTTTTCTTCTGATATCATTATTCAATATAATATAATTATTCGTTTCTTTCTTAGTAAGCGAATTGCGAAAAATCCGGCACTAGAAAATCCAAACCAAGAAGGAATATCTGTACCTGCAGGTAATATTCGTAGTGATCGTTACCTCAAGCTAACCCTTAATTTTAACCTGCTAGCCTTTAACTTGTTTTAATTCTTGATTGAGTCGGTTTTCTTTCATGTGCACTTTGAATATTAATTAGCTGAAAAGATGTAGGAAAATTCAGAAAATAGTCGTTCAAAGAAGACGACACTGACGAAACTTTGTTGGAAAACCTCCTCGATCAAGATATAAATATGATATGCACTTCGAAAGTGGGAAAGAGAAAAGCCCTCCTTCTCGATGTTTATCCTATACATAATGTTATTTAAAACATGTTAATTATTTGTCAAAAATTTCAAAAGGAAGCTCTAGCCTATATGAAAAAGAAAAAGTTAGAGTACAGTATAAATTAGATAGGATTTAGTTTAAAGTTTGAAAATAAACATGTATAAATCTCTCATAAATTATGTTTCACTTTCTGTGGACAAAGACTTCCAGTGAACTAACTAATTGTCTTCCAGGAATATCGCAAACGCTCACAGTATGGGTGCACATATTTCATGCTAATATATAAGTGATATCATAATGTAATTATCACAAACACACAAAATTAAAGTAATACAGTCGTGAGAAAATGCCTATTTAAGAGGGCCTTTTGCTGCATCTTTGTCAAACAGTTTGCAATATGCAATAACTATACGGAAATAATTCTGTAAGACGTCAGATTTTAATTGCCGTTTCATCGTTTCGTTCCGGCAGCTTCCAGTAGAGATTTTTAGCAGTGTCATTCTGGCAACCTCATAATTCACTGATTTTTATTCTATTTTGCTCTTATGAAACATAATTTTGGAATAAACCACCATGGATGCAACAACCACGTTGACAGAAACGCGAAAATTAATGTTACACGTACGGTAAGACAAAGAACACAAAACCTCGAAAATAGATAGCTAACTTTCGAACAAATCTGGGTCGGGTTTCTAAAATAAGCTTAATAGTCACCATAAAAGTGGCTAAAATTTAAAGATAATTTATTTACAAACCTAAATTGATTGGTCGGTTTTTAACGACCCAGTCTCTGAACTATTTTTCCATCCTGGTATTATCTCTAGCTATCGCTACAATTTGGAAATGACTCTGAAATCCCAGTTTTTTTTAAGAAATGATGGAATGCGAAAGAAAACCACGAATAATTCTTCAGGGCGGTATGTATACTGGTTTGGAATGTGGTGATCCAGAAGAGTTCATGGACGCGCTGAAAGGAGCTACGAGGAATGGATATGACGTTCTGAGAGTAAGATACTGTAAACCTTATAGAGTAATTAATTTTCCTGGAGTAAATTTCCTGTAAATTTATTTATCCTGCCAGTGTAATTTAATATGTGAGCAAGCGATACCTAACTGCAGAAATTTACCATTAGCACCTTCAGGATGTTAAAAGTATACTCTAGCTACATATTCTGGGGGGTGTTTAGATATTCTTGCCCGACAAAAGGGCGTGCTTGCCAATCAATCCGTTATGGAATTCGTGAACTTTTCTACCTTTACTTCTTCAGATGACTTCAGCTGCTTTGCCCGATATACAGCTCAATACTAGGCAAAATTGCCTCTAGTATCATGCCTTGGGAAGGTCAGAGAACAGTGTTGGCGACGTCAAATCGACCAGCTTCGAGCCTCGAGTGTGAAAGTAAATGACCAGAGTGATGATACGGCTGAACCTCATCCAGAGCTCGGAGAGACTGGCCAGAATATTGCACCAGCAGAACAAATTGTCGCAGAGCCGGATATCGAACTAGCTATGAATCCACCAGTAGTGCAACAAGAAGAAGCCGGTAGGGCTACAATAGGATTTGAACAACGCTACCCAACTAGATCACACCAACCACCCGAGCGGTGGGGTCTTGACTGTTTGATCCAAAAACTGTTTAAGAAAACTACATAGAGAACTGCTTTATTACTTACTGTTATGGTTAGCATAATTGTTCGAACACGATAGTGAACTCATGAACAATATTTTATGATACATTCCTTAAGAGGAGAGATGGTGTTAGATATATAGATATAGATGGACAGCGGTCATACGCACGGACATGCGCATTAGATATGTAGATCGGCCATGTTTATGTATTATTCATATTTTGTTAAAAGTACAATCTAAATACACGACAGGTAGGGAAGTGAGAGAACTTAAAGCGTAGATACTGTACCATGCATTAAACTAACCTGAAGTTCAGGCCCTAATTTAAAATGGGTGTAGATAAAAGGCGGGCGGACGGCGGACGGCGGACGGCGGACCGCGGAGCATTTTATAAACACACGATTACTACGGCAACTAATAATAATATACCTTAAATTAAAGTATTACAGCCTTAGATATTTGTAATGAATACGTTTTCACCCTTTCGAATTTTTAGCAATGGAATTTTTTAATCAGCATTTAAATGATTCAGTACGTATTTATGATAGGCTATACGTCGTCGTTCACGGAAAAGTTTTGGAAATATATATAAAAAAGCGCCTCAGTTTTGGAGCTTCTGTTAGGCAGAATTAAATGACATTCACTTGCTGACATTTTCGTACTTTAAATAGTGCTGACTTGTTGTTTTGTAATGAAAATAATCTTCGTTTGAATTATAAACCTAAGTGGTTCACATGTCCGCCGTCAGCGGTCCGCTGTCCGCTTTTTATCCGTCCGCTTTTTATCTACACCCATTTTAAATAGGGCCTGACACAAAACCTGTTTAGACCGTGGGACGCCTACATGTTATTTTTAGATACAGCATGTAAAATAATTGACAAGTGTTGTAGATTTCGTGACAAAAAAAATATATTCTCATGAACATGTCCGCAGATTGTGCATTTTGCTTTTTAATTCAACTTAAAAATTCAAAGTAGTTTTATATAATTAAGTGTCAGTTTCTCTATTTAACCGAACAGCAAACAAAGATTTAATCAGTCAGTTTTGTGCACGGCTTGACTACCAAACTTTCTTGAGGTCTCAACTTGCTGGACTCTAACGTTACGGGCTAACAACAGCAACAATGAAATTCTCTCGTACCACGAAGAAGGTGATGTAGCTCAGAAAACAACGCCGGTAGGATCTGATATTAAAAATAAGAACAACAAGCTTTCGAATGCATGAATAGTTTGGCTGTTCTTTCAGCGTCGTGTAGTGTGTCCTAAATTCGTCAAAGATTTTGATAAAGCCCTTTCAAAATACTGTTTGTTAGATTTATTTTCTGCCATAAAGCATAAAAGAAAAGAAATTCGAAGAAATCGATAATGGAATTTGTTAAATTACGTGCGTTTGACCTTTATATTAATTGTCGCCTTGAGCCCTTGACCGAGCTATTTTTAAAACTGTTGTTTATGTGTAGTTGTAACCAATCAAAATCTTTCATGACGCTGATCAACCAATCAGATTTCCCGTTCTCCAGATGGACGGGAATCCCACAGTTTAGACAGGTTTTGTGTCAGGCCCTATTCTGTGATTAGTGCGTGAACTTCGGGTTAGCATTAAACATCCTCTTAATAAACCTATTGTTATTATATTATTTTATTAGAATCTAGTTTCCGTGAAATTGCTTTTTTAAGACACGTGAATCGTGAAACGCTTTTTTTCCGTTGTGAAACGTGACCCATACCCCCCCCCCCCTTTCCCACCCTCAATAGTATGATCCAGTGTTGTAACGAGTAGAGTCATTGACTCTGACTCGAGTCAACTCGAGTCGCTATTTTCAGCGACTCGACTCGAGTCCAATACGAAAAATGACTCGACTCGACTCGAGTCAACAGCCCCAAATGACTCGACTCGGACTCGACTTGCTGATTTTGCCGTAAATGACTCGAGTCAACTCATCTACAATTTGTACAGAGTAAATTCATCACAATTATCGTGATTGTATTGCTTGGGAAGAACAATGAGCCTTGTAAACAATGAGAACTTTGAAACTTTATCAGAAAATATATGGGATTTGCATAGAATATATTCCTGACGGGCATACCTATATTACATTTCTGTTTTTAGAAACAACGCTAGTGCCACAGTTTTTTAAAATTAAGTCTCAAAATGTTTTGTACTTATACTAATTCTGACAGGCTATTTTCATTTTTGGTATTTATGAAGGGCTATATAATTTCAAATCAACTTACAAAGCGTTGTTAATTAAAGTCTATTCTTTGTTAATTCTGACTCCAGTTGCAAGTTTTGCTAGTTGTATGTACGTACACTCGATCAGCAGGTATGATGAGACATCTCACGTGGTTGACTGGAACTGTGATATTGGCACAGCCTATAGCTGCCCAGATACTGTTATTAATTTAAATGACTAAAGTAATTAGTTTAAAACGCAAATTTGATTACTAATTTCCGACAGCAAGCTAGGGTAGCTCAAGTAAAGTCTAGAAATTGACTCGACTCGACTTAAATCAGTGACTCGACTTGACTCGAGTGAAGCCGCTGACTCGACTCGACTCGACTCGAGTGAAGCCACTGACTCGACTCGACTCGACTCGAAAAAACTGAAATGACTCGACTCGACTCGTGACTCGACCTTTGAGTGACTCGACTCGACTCGTGACTCGACCTGTAGGTGACTCGTTACAACACTGGTATGATCTACTTCTAAGAACATAACGTTTAGGTGTTTTTGTTATCTTTTTAAAGCTTTCTCATACAAGTACTCTTATCTATCATTTCGCGATAACGTTGCCATTTTCTACAGCTTTATTAGAATATATTTCTCAGTATAAAACGTGTATAATCCTTTCTTGCTTCGGGAGTCACTCGTGCTAGTCACACGTTTCGTCTAATTGTGAAAACAGTTACGCTTGAGTTTTGGTGTTTCTCCTTCTGTAGGTGGTGGTGTAAGGAAATTAGGTTTAGAAGTAGTAGACACTGGTAGTGGTGTCTCAACAGGTTCATTGGGTACTGCATACTCTGCATGGTGGCGTAGTTTGACCGGGGACTTCAACCTTTTCGTGAGTGAAATGATGAGTTGGAAAATCCATCTTATTTTTGAAAGTCAGAAACAGATTTAGCTGATCAGAATAAAGCTTGCCTGTTTCCATTGCAGAAAGTTGTGGTGCTTCCATGATCTCTTTCATTCGCTGTTCGGCATCATACATTGTATTTACAACAGGTGGTTGATGGTAGGATTTGGCTTGTATATACGTGTAGATACTTTAGCATAATACATGATTCATCAGATTCTCCATGGGTTTAAAACATATTACTACACGTTTCGAAAACGAACCCAGATTTGTTCTGCTACATATTTACAGATATTTCTTACGTCAGTATCTCCCAATTAAATTTCTAGGTGCAGTAACAGCAGCACGTTATATTCTTCATCCAGTTTCACTCGCCAGAAAAGTCATGGATGAATCGGACCATTGCACTTTGTGTGCAGATGGAGCATTGGAATTTGCAGTGAAACAAAACGTTCCCATTGAATTTGTGGAGGGCAGAGACTATCCCCCATGGGACGGCCCCAATCGTTTCAATGACAACCCAGGTGACACAGTAACAGCTATTGCCATGGATTGCAAGGGCAATTTGGCGTGCGCGGCATCGTCAGGTAACACTAATAGACGGATTTAGGACGCGGACGTCAAAGACGACGCGAAAATGGCGCCAAAATGGCGTGGCATATCCATACATAGGCAAGACACGCCATTTTCACGTCGTCTTTGACGTCCGCGTGACCGCGTCCTTTATCTAAATCTGTCTAATAAAGCCCAGAATACGCGAATAAGAGTTGACGAGAGTTGGCAGTAACGAATTTTTGTAGGGTCATTTCAAGCTAGAGCTTTAGATTAAGAAAATCAAGATTAGGTGCATGTGTGCATGTTCCAACTATGTTTTAACTTGACAGTATTAGGACAGCTAACCAAAATCATGTGTCTCATGTCAACTCTCGTGCACCCTCGCTTGATTCGGGATTATAATATTATTATCTCATTATGAAATGCTTGCTTCTGCTATGTCTATAGTAGATACACGCCTTGTAGAGAGAACATATGGCCAAAACACTAAGAACACTGAAAGTAAATCACGAGAACGTTAATGCTATATTTGGATTTTTTAAGGTGGTATACCAGGTAAATCTAAAGGTCGTGTCGGTGATGTACCGCAGATTGGCTGCGGAGGTTACGCAAATAAATGCGGAGCAGCAGCAGCATGTGGGCACGGAGAGTCGATAATAAAAATGACCGTGGCAAAAGAAGTGGTTTCTAACATGGAAAAACTGAATCAATCTGCTCAGGTTAGGTTAAAAAATTTCCTACTTAATTTATTTTCAAATCAGTCGGTTCAATTTAGCTTGCAGTTTTAGATAACTGCATGCCTGTACAAACACTTAAACAGGAGTCACCCTAAGAAGAAATTTAGAACTGCCCATTTCTAGAAGGAGAGAATATCATGAGGCTGAAAGCATTTGGCCTCATGATATTCTCTCCTTGTAGAAATTGGAAAATTATGGAAAATTATGAATTACACAAATCCAGAATGGTCATTTCATGCATTTTCGGAATCAAATTTTGGGTTTGTTTGACCATGCATAAACCTCTGTACGAATAATAATTATATCAATATCATTCTCATATAAAACTCCAAGAGTCGCGTTTAGGAATGCCATTTTATGTTTATTCTATTAAGTTTTCCATTTTACATTTAGAACTCACTGTCCATTTTCGAAAATAGGAGGCCTTTAGGATGATCGCTGCACTTAGAATAATAATAGTGCAACTATCAGTAACGATTGTTTTAGAAACCCAACCTATAACTATTCTGAATCAGATTCTTTATAGTCGCGCATTGGTTCGACTGTATATAGACTTGAACATAAGTTTAACGTATTTCCTATCACCTAGTTCCATTCGCATAGAAATGGTGTAAACACTGCTTTCGACCACTAAATTAATTAAAGCACATTGTAAAATATCAATTTGGTTAGAAAACAGCCTTGTTAATAATTTCTTTTAAATTAATTAATGTCTCGATTTTATTAGTGTTGTATAATCTGAAATAGAATAATAACAACCCTTTCCTATTTATGATATTTTATATTAGAAATACATGCATGCAGCAACCCCTCGCCTTTCTTAACAAATGAAGTATATTAATGATGAGATAAATAATCTAATTGTCGCGGATCTTATTCGCGGATCGCGGGTCAGTTTTTCGAGAATCTAGAACGCATGTATTTTTGGCTTTTAATAGGCTTCAATTCAATGTAAAATAAAAAGATACTGAAAACGCTTCGAAACTTTGGCGTGAAGCTATGTACTGTAGTTGGGTTAACTGAAAAATAGTTTTGCCGACAAATAGTTTGCTCGAAATAAAGCAAAATAATTTGCTTTACAGGCGCAAGCTTTTACTTGAGTTAGACATTGGTCAAGCCACATTTGCTGTAAATAGGTAAAAGACCATTACAAGCACACATAAAAACAGACTGCGTTGCGTAAAAACATACTAGGGAGTTTACGATCTACGACGCGTCCGGCTCGACGACGCGCTTTCAAACAAAGAAACTTGGTGTTTCCACAAACAATAGTATTATATGTTTTATCGCCATGCAAACCTACAAAGAACTTACAAAAAAAATTGTCATGCAAGACAAAAACTGTCAATAATTCGTGGTCCAAGGAGTATTGTCAACCGCGTTGTCATTCTCAACACAACGTTAAACAAGCATTATTATGTCTTTCAGTCAACGTGAAAGCTTAATGCGACCCAAGAGTTGTTACTTAAAGTCGAAATTACAGCAAACATTGCATCCCTTTAGCCGAACGTAGCAGTTTGTAAGGTTATTTGAAAAAGCATCAAATAATTATTACAGTAGTCAAATTGCCTTCAGCTCGTTCTTGAGCTGAAATTTAGACCGCATCGTTGAGCCGGCCGCGTCGCAGATCGTAAACTCCCTAATATTGAGTTAAGAACAATTTAAAAATGTCAAGGATAGAATTATTAATAAAATAGCTTAAAATCGACAACACAAAGCTGGTACGGCATGGAATTTTACAACTGATACGTTTACACTTACCCACGTAAATTTAATACTGCAAAGCTAGCTAGCTTTCGATCCGTGAGAGCGAATCTTCGTTTTATAATAACAATAATATACAACACGAATAAGCCCGTATCTTCATCACTCATGATGATCGAAGACCCGGGTTTACGGATCGAAAACTTTGCAGTAATCAGTAAATTTACGTGGTGTTTCCACAAATAAAAGTATTATATGTTTTATCATCATGCAAGCGTGCAAAGAACTTATATCTCTTAAATATATCTTCTTTCTAAATCTATTGTTTTTCATAATTTATTTCTTGTTTTTATTTATATTATTCAAGGATATATAAAAAAGGCTAATTTGATTAATTTAATTTTAGAACAACATTAATTTAATTTTAGAACAACAGACATTTAAAATGTCCGAAACGTATAGCAAAATTAATGAAAATTAACCTTTTGTATATATCCTTGGAAAATAAAACAAGAATTCAAATAAATTAAGCAAAATATATCTTTGCAAAATGAAAAAAAAAATATTGCGAGAGCTTGTACTCGCGTATGCGCATAAGTTTCAAAACCGCTCATGCATGACATAATGGAGGAAAACTCTGCACTTCGCTATGTTCTCACATTCCCGGGTGTAAATACCCGAGCGGAATTATTACCCTCGCTCCGGGCTCACATCCAGAACGGCCTTTTGTGCCGTTGGCTCTGGCATAAAATTATGTAGGATAATAGTGACTCTATCAGTGATCTCACTGTTGCATCAACTTCTGAATAAGTCAGTCAATATTGCAAACATATCCTAATTAATAGTAAACGGGGCATTTAAAGCTTCTTGGAAATAGGACCTCCTTCATCCTTGCGTCAAGTGAAGAAGCATAAGTCGCTAGTTATACCCGCGTATAAAGCATTCAAATTGAAACATGGTAGCCAGCTAGGTCACTCTGCCATTTTAGCAAGCGCGACGAAATCGAATCGGTTTTGGTATAGTGCATTAAAAATTACATTTCATAATTATCCAATATTCCAGCAAATACCAGAAATTGCACCATTCAAAAACGCACGAAATCTCATAGTGCTGGCATTATATAGTCTGCAGTGAGCCGAATTTGAAAATCTACACGCTTCATAATAACCGCGAAGCCTCTGGACTAAGGCACATCTATTACTCTTTCTCTAAACTAGGAAGCTGCGGATACTGCTTTACAGGAAGTGAATTTGAGATTGATGAATGAGCCGTATGTTGCCGTAACTGCAATTAGTAGAGAAGGAAGCTTTGGAATGGCAGCCATCAATGCCAGTGCGATGCCTTGGGCAAGTATCAGTGATCGTGATCACGATCACGTTATCGTCCTAAGATCGGGCACGCAACCAGGTGTAATTCACGAAGAGGTCGAGATTGAATGAATCACAATGTATATATATGTTACGGTATAGTGTAGTATCAATGTGGCATTTGTAACGATAATTATATTAATGTTTATATAGTTAATAAGAATTATCCGTACTGATTAGTATCGCTACAGTTTAACTCACTACTATGCACTTAAGGCAATGTTAGAAGATGCACCAAACTCGTAAAAAAGCGTGTTGTTCATAAAATGTAAAAATAGTCTAGTCAATATAGGGGATAACCTTTAAAAAATTGCAAGAAATTCTTTTACAACGTTTTTATGTAGTATCAGACATTTGGAAACGTCGTTGTGTCGTCATACAAAGATGGCCTCCAATGACCAAAATGTGCCAAATATAAACTTAGAGAAGCTGTAAAATATAAATTGTAATTGTAATCGTTCATTAACATATACAAATAGTCCATTTGACCTTACTATCATAATATTAAGAATGCTCTAAGCCCCAGAGATGAATATTTCACGTTAGTTGATGACGTCATCAGTGACAAAATGATCTAAAATAATCTTTACCTCCGCCAGGAGGTTATGTAATCATCTGGGTTTGTATATGTGTATGTGTGTGTGTGTATGTGTGTTTAAAAAACTCATTAATAATTCATGAAGAAAACACAAAGAAAAATCATAAGCGTGTCGTATCTGTATATGTGATACAGATTCATGTTGATTTACATAAACTTCAACTTTGATTTTCTCGGCTTAGACAACGTTTATTTTTAAAATTACTTCGCCAATGAACTCATAAGATGAGTCGTTTTTTAAGTCATTTACAACATTCGCGTCCGTGTTGTATCGGATATACAAACTCTCGCCTTCGGCTCGAGTTTGTATATCCGATACAACACGGCCGCTCATGTTGTAAATAGTACGTGTATGTGTGTATATGTGTGTGTATGTGTGTTTGTCTGTAAGCACGATAACTCAAGAAATACCAAACATATTCATACGAACATATTTTGTTCATTTCCATTGGCTAAGGAAGAACTGATTAAAATTTGGTTGAATTTGGTTAAAAATTGAACGAGAAATGAACAAAATTTTGTCTTGCTTTTCCCGGTCAATTAAAAAAACAACTCACTGAATGCGTAATTAGGACGTGTATAATGTATGCACGCTGTACTAAGACAATAAGACAATAATGAGATGATAAACCTCATTAAGCTTCAGCCTTCATTATCTATTGTCTTAGTTGCATTTCACACGATCGAAATTCAATGGTGGCGGAGGTATGCAGTTTCTGAGTGCCCTCTAGTTGAATATGTTATGAAAGTAATCTTTGAATATGTTTTGAAAAATTATTGAATATGGCCTAGAGAGTTTCACATGCATCTTTAAAGGTTTATATGGTAAATTTTAGCATTCAGATTTCACTGTTCTTCATCGTCAGAAACTGCTTCCTCGCACATATTATCACATTATCCATCTTGACATGATCCGCATGCCCGTGAACAATTTAATCCGTGTTTTCTGCAAGTACAGCGATTAAGTGTGCTACATGAACCAGAACAGTTGCAGTGAATCATTTTCAGATGTCCTTCTGGTGCAAGTGCAGTGTCCATCATTACTGGAACTAGGATCAACCTGTTGTTGTCCCATCCCCACTCTCTTGGATCTAGAGTCTCATCCATGCCCATCCATTGCATTACTTGGAGATAGCACCAGGGCCTTTTTTAAGGATTTTCCCGTGGGGGGGGGGCATTTTTTGAAAAGGGACCTTTCTGTGAGATAATATATTACAGGGAGATAGCAATGGCTGAAGGCCACGTGTGTAACCAACATACCATGCACGCATGGATGGGGGTGGGTCTGGGGGTGTACACCCCCAGAAAATGTTTGAAATTTGAAGCACGGAAATGCCATTTCCTGCATTCTGAGCAACCAAATTTGCTCCAAAATGTATGCTAACTATACTTGTATTTGAAATAAAAGAAGGAAAAAACCAACAAAAAGTAAAAAAAAATATTAACCATAATTTATCATTACTTATCAGAAGAGGATAGCAATGGTTACGTGAGTGGGCGTGTACTCCCCCAGAAAATTTGTGAAATTTGAAACACGGGAATATCATTTCCTGCATTCTGAGCATCCAAATTTGCTCTAAAATTTATGCTAACTATACTTGTATTTGAAATAAAAGAAGGAAAAAATGCACAAAAAGTAAAAAAGAATATTAACCGTAATTTATCATTATACTTATTAGAGGGGGATACCAATGGCCGAAGGCCACGTGTGTGAGGGCATAATTTCCGGAAAATTTTTCAAATTTGAAACCTGGAAATGCTCCTTCCTGCATTCTGAGCATCGAAAAAATAAAAACATTTTAACAATAATTTATCATTACTTAGTGATAGAAAACCGTAACAATTTAAATCGATTTTGTTAAACAAGAACAAAGGATAAAGCCTAAAACTTACTTTCCGTTTATTTATTTGTTATTCTTCGCTGTTTTGTTGGTATAAATTTAGGAAAAAGGGATGATTTGATTTCGTGGGCGGGGGGGGGGCACAAGGGGGGACTGGGGGATGGGCATTTGCCCCCAGCTTGTATGTTAAAAAAAGCCCTGGATAGCACCTCAGAGCATGATGTTTCGTCGCAGATGTTGTTGGTGGGAATCGTTCAGGTACGACGAAGTTTTTGGCTGCACTTACGTTTTTGCAAATGGTGGAGTATCTGATTACAAACAGACTTCCTCCGGGTTTTCCATTGAACGATGCAACCATCGCTTTAGAACCAGACTCTACAATAACATCCGTGTCTTGGTTTGGTGAAGAAAAGACTTTATCGCAGCTGTTTAGGGTCGCTTCATTTTTAATAAACTTTTGTAAGACAGACTTTTTTCCAATTCCAAAAATCCGTGACGTGGTATCACACCCCGTGAAAGCATGAAGAAACAACAGATTAAAACAGATTTCATTCCCAAGCACCTGCTTTATGACCTTTATGTCTAACACTGTCGTAGAACCCCCTTTGTCCGAGCGGAAGTAGATCTTTTTACCATTGCTCGATGCATGATGAAGCAACAACACTAGCAGATCCGTATCTTCGCATATGAGACATGTTTTGTAGGACGACGTCGCTACTGCAGCTTTAACAATTTCTACATCTGCATCTCCTTCAGCTTGTATGGCATGGCAACCTCTGTCCCTCATACTGGTGGATACAAGATGGATTAGGGCCTGTTTGTTTTCATTATTGGAAAGGAAATCTTTCTTCCCTGCAAATTTCGTCGCTTCGGAAATATCGACTTTGTTAGCAATGCGACTTTGGCTACGCCGCTGGTGAGTATGGTCCTTAATGTTTGGTCCGCCACCGTAACCATCGAAGATGACAGTAGCCTTTCCATAATGCTTCACTGTGAAATCTGTATAGGCGTTGGCAATGGAACTATAAGTCTTTCCTTCAGTCCACTTTAATCGATGAAGAAGGGGCCCTCCATTTAGGACGTTGTGCTCGACCTCTGGAATATAATGAAGGGCTGCTTCAACGGAACAAGATGCAACATGGTTTTTAAGACCATCAAGAAGTTGGGCTTTGTCCGCTTTGCGTAGCAGGTTTTTTGCCTCAAACAATGATGGAGGGTATGGGGAAAGTTCATAGCTCAATACCTCTTCAAGAGAAAGGTCTCCTGTTTGAGATACAACAAGAAACCTCTGGAACAACAGAGCTGGGTCTACTGTTCTATCTTCGGCAACTTTGACCGCGCGAGCAGATGCCAGCGTCCTTGATTTCAGTTCTCTTTTGCAAGCAAAGGAAAACACCGGCTGTTCCTTCATGGTTGCCAAAGTTTCCTTTCCAATGGCAAACAGGTTATGGACGTTTACATCCTCGTTGGCGATGCCTCTTCTGAGAAGGGAGAAAATTCTTGGAGTTTTCCTGCAATTTTTTCAAGGTCTTCGTGATATCTTTTCACCCTTGACGCAGTCATACATGTCCAATACTGTCGACATGATACGGATCGTGAAGCAGCTTCACGATCCGTCAAATTCGTACGGACGGTAAACACGAGTCACGATCCGTATCAACTCATAAACGCAATAGGTGGTCTCCAATAGCAGATGCTTGTTGTCCAGATTTACCAACAGTTCGACGGATCGTACCGTTCGTACGGCTCGTAAGACAATCACGATCCGACAAATCCGTACGGTCCGTACGAACTGTGAAACGGCTTTACGGACCGTACGAAGCGTACGGTTCGTGAAAATGATTTACAGATCGGGAACCTATATAATAACTTCAAACATTATAATATGCTGTTTGCTATATCAATATAATATGTTGTTGCTCCGTTCTTAAGAAACCACACATATACTGTATCAATATAGGCAGCGTTTACACTGTACCGTTTTCGTAGCGTTCTCGTATTGTTCTTAATCCTCAAGGGAACGCAAGACAATGGTCTAGTTCTCTCGAACAATACGAAAACGCTACGAAAACGGTACAGTGTAAACGCTGCCATAATATGTTGTTTCTCCGTTCTTAAAAAACCACGCAATATATCAATATCAGTAATATTGTTGCTCCGTTCATAAGAAACCACGCAAACAATATCAGTAATATATATTGTTGCTCCGTTCTTAAAGAAACCACGCGATTTACCTGTATAATACAGTATGTTGTTGCTCCGTTCTTAAGAAAACACGCAATATATCAATATATGTTGTTGAACCGCGCAATTTATCAGTATAATATGCTGTTGCTCCGTTCTTAAGAAACCACGCAATATATCAATATAATATGTTGTTGCTCCGTTTTTAAGAAACCACGCAATATATCAAGATAATATGTTGTTGCTCCGTTCGTAAGAAACCATGCAATACAGGGTGTATCAAAACACCTGCAACCACTATATAATTTGCATAATTCTACTGCTTACTAGCATTTCAATGTACAGGGTGAGTAAAAAAACTGACACCTTTGTTATTCAAATTAGCCGCGAAGGTATCAGGTTTTTTTACTCACCATGAATGTGCTATTTATTTCGGCTCCTGCATGAGATTTGAACTGCCCATCTAATTTAATTAACCGCGTTGATAGAAACTACTATACGTACGCTTGGGATCAAATAGTTCTGAATCATGCAAATTCTAAAAACATTATATTTCAATGGGTTAGTTAGCAGGTTTTTTGATACACCCTATACATCAATATAATACCTTCTCTTATACACTGCTTTAATTAGGCGTAGCGGTGAGAATATATGAGATTTCGACAAACAATTTTTATCGGACTCATAATTATTTGCTCAATTGTTCTTTGCAGGGTGCATGAAAAATAATCCAACTAATCCAACTTCACCTCGCTATTGTACCTGAATTACTCTGCGTATGAACGAGATTTGTATTCGGAACGCCCATGCAAATGCACGCAAATTACCAATTTGACAGCCTACCTATGTAGGCATATTAACTTTTCAATACATGCCTTTAAAGTGGTGTTTCCCCATGTATAACACTTACTGAAACCCACTACCGTACGGATCGACAAACTTTTATGCCCTCACTTCAACACAACATCGCCATCGACAAAGTAGGTTCACGATCCGTAAATCATGTTCACGAACCGTACGGTTCGTACGGTCTGTAAAGCCATTTCACAGTTCGTACGGACCGTACGATCCGTACGGATCGACAAACTGTTATGCCCTGACTTAAAGACAACATCGCCATCGACAAAGTAGGTTCACGATCCGTAAATCATCTTCACGAACCGTACGGTTCGTACGGTCCGTAAAGCCATTTCACAGTTCGTACGGATCGTACGATCCGTACTGATCGACAAACTTTTCTGCCCTGACTTGAACACAACATCACCCATCGACGCTTTTTACGGATCGACAAAGTAGGTTCACGACCCGTAAATCATTTTCACGAACCGTACGGATCGGACGGTCCGTAAAGCCATTTCACAGTTCGTGCGGACCGTATACGATCCGTACGGATCGACAAACTTTTATGTCCTGACTTGAACACAACATCGTTATCGACATAGTAGGTTCACGATCCGTAAATCATCTTCACGAATCGTACGGTTCGTTCGGTCCGTAAAGCCATTTCACAGTTCGTACGGACCGGACGATCCGTACGGATCGACAAACTTTTATGTCCTCACTTAAACACAACATCGCCATCGACAAAGTAGGTTCACGATTCGAAAATCATTTTCACGAACCGTACGGTTCGTACGGACCGTACGGTTCGTACGGTCCGTAAAGCCATTTCACAGTTCGTACGGACCGTACGGATTGTGTTCAATGTTTTACCATCTTTACGATCCGTATACGTTCGACAGTATTGGACAACCATCGACGCAGTCGCTTCTTTGTGCTGTTCGCTGGTAACTAAGCTCTGGGCGGTAAAAGACTGCATCTTATCGCTGTATGCTGAAGACACTGGTGCTGACATAGTCCGCACGACTCTCTGGTGTTCAGAAATTCCACTTCCTCTCGTGAGACCACCTGCAATCTTTGGGTACCGCATAAGAGCTTGCTCGATTACTTGCCCAATACTGATCACTTCGCCTGATAACGTGCAACCCATTCATTAACTTGCGGAAGACTGACAGATTGCCCTTTTGAAGACTTGCCATGGATTGGAGGTACAGATAAGCCGATTTCAGATAATTTGAATGTCCAGCTGCAGCAAATATAGGTAAACAGTCAGATATAGCATGAAGATGCATCAACCAGGATCCAGTACGGTCAGCTTTGATAAGTTCCCACGCAGTTCTTATCATCTGCTGATAAACCAGCCACAGTTTGGCAGTGGCAGAGTGAGCTGACATTTCGCCTTCTTTGGAAGACAAGATCTGAGCTATTTCACTAAGGCAGCTAGATGAGATTAACGAATCAAGATCACTATGCCCTGGCACTTCCTGTTCGTACAACTCCTCCAGTTTTTGCAATAGGTTTGCAAAGTCAGGGCGATCGGACATTACCTTGTCAACAACCTGTTGTATGAGGCACTGATCGTGGAGAAGATATCCGCGTTATTGTCGTTGAACTGCCTTTCCAGTCATGATATGCTGCACTGCATTTTCGCCGTAAATGTTTCCTAGAATCTCCTTGATTCCACTCCCATCCATCAACGTTCCTATGGCACCCAGAAGATTCATTAACGTGTGACAGCTTCCACGTAGCAACACAACACATCGAGTTTGGCTATCTCCTGGTACCTCATGTTTAATTTCTGAAGCTTTCCAATTAAGTGGCTGATCGAATGTAACAACCGCTGTAGTTTTGTGTCCATTAGCAAGATTGCACAAGTATTCGAGGGTGGAGAAGATGCACGACTTATCTCCAGGATACATGTCAATCATTGGTAGAAAGACGACGTTAGATTGTCCTGGATGATCGCAATCTTTGTGCAACAAATGCATCATTCCCTGCCAGCCTGGCGCGGACTTCTTGAAGCGAAAGGACATTGCCCACAATATATCAATCTTGTGGGCATCGCCGTCAAAGGAAGGCATGGAATCGAATTTAATGTTGTTTCGGGCGTATTTCGCGAACCGATATTCTTTGATATCAACTTGAGATAGCTCAACAATCTTTAACTGCGCGATCGTTTGTCTGAGAACAGTGTGATTGCCTTCCTGGGGTTATGGCTGCTATCATCCCCATGCCATGAAATGTTCCCTTTCCATCTATCGTGATGATGTTATGGTCAACGTTATCAGCTGCAAACAGAAGGGCTGCATCTAGTGCGTTTATGTCACCACCTAGTTTGTCTGGAGCAACAGATGCTGCAGCGTTTTCCTCAAAACGTTGAACTTCGGAATATGAGGAAGAAAAACCCATTGCCGCCAGAGTATCTACTAGAAATCGTGACCTGAAATGGTGGTGCATCTGCACTGCTAATCCAATCTGTAATTGGGCTACTACAGGAATACTTCAATTTGTGCGAAAATGAATGTCACATGACCGATGATACAGACTGACTGCTGCATGCAAGTCCTTTCCAAAATACTCGATTCTCCCTTGAAAAGTAAATGCCTAATCATCGTTACGCTGTTTACAATGCGACAAGACTGTTTCCACAACTGTATCTGTTTTAACACAGCTGTATTCTTCAGAATATACGCCACTACTTGATGCCTTTACTATTTCATTTCCGCAGAATAAACAATGCGTTCTGCTGTCATAAGGCCCAATAGAAGCGCGTGCACTTCGTTTGACAGGTAGGGACGGCTTGGTGAACTTTGCCTTCTTATACAAATCTATTTGCTTCTTATTGATGTAATTCATGCGACATTTTTTGTGCACTACAGTCCCAGAACATGCAACGATCCTATCAGCTCTTTCAATGCTGGTACGGTTGAATCCTACAGCCTCTTTCTCACCAATCACTACTCGTTCTTTATCTCCTAATACAAGGGCCTTTTTGAAGGATTTTCTCGTGGGGGGGGGGGGATATTTATTGAAAAGGAACCTTTCTGTGAGATAATATATTACAGGGAGATAGCAATAGCTGAAAGCCACGTGTGTGACCAACATACCATGCACGCATGGGAAAAAATGCACAAAAAGTAAAAAAAAATATTAACCGTAATTTATCATTATACTTATTAGAGGGGGATACCAATGGCCGAAGGCCACGTGTGTGAGGGCATAATATCCAGAAAATTTTTCAAATTTGAAACCTGGAAATGCTCTTTCCTGCATTCTGAGCATCCAAAAAATAAAAAATTATTAACAATAATTTATCATTACTTAGTGATAGAAAACCGTAAGAATTTAAATCGATTTTCTTAAACAATGACAAAGGATAAAGCCTAAAACTTACTTTCCGTTTATTTATTTATTTGTTATTCTTCGCTGTTTTGTTGGTATAAAATTAGGAAAAAGGGACTTTTCCTAGGGGGGCACAAGGGAGGGGGACTGGGGGAATTTGTCCCCCAGCTTGTATGTTAAAAAAGGCCCTGCCTAATACATTGTCGCATAAAGGGCAATTATCCTGGCTTGCTCTCATTTGAGCGTCTGAAATGCAAATTGAATAATTCTACAGGGAAGAAGACATGGTTATAGGTACTTTTAAGCTACTGGAAAACATAAAACTTCTCAATACTTTGCAGCGATTCAACAGAAAATGTCATTGTTTGAAGACGGCACTGAAAAGTCCGCAAAGTGTATTTGACTTTTTCTGTTCAATGGGCTGAATAGTTTTCTTTTCCTGCTTTTATAATAGTTATGCAAGAAAAATGTTGTTAAGAACGTTTTAAAAGCAAAGATATGTACTTGTCTATACTACAGTAGCAGAGATCATTCTTCAAGATGCATTTCCTCAAATTGTATTTTATGTTGTTATAACATGAAGTACTAGAAGATAAGTGGTAGCCATGGTAATACGGTTTTCCTACAATTTTCCTGTTGCTTTTTTGCATACAAATAACAAAAATAATGGGAAATATATATTTTTAACCATAGAATTTCCAGTTCCCGATTTGTACAACGTATAGACAAGTTATTAGACATTGTATAACTATAATTTTGTTTTGATTTGAACATTTAAAAAAGTTTTATGAGCGGCAGCTTTTTGACAATTCTACACTTTGGCGAAAAAATCGGTACTCCCGCCTTTTTTTACTGTGAGTATGATGAGGTTTTATATTGCAAAAAAGCCTCACAAGTGCACATTTTAAATTTCTAACCGCCAAAGACTAAAATTTTATTAATATATTACATGTTATTGTGTATTTTTTGTTTTTCGCTAAATATATTACCACTTCCAAAATAAAAATCTCATAATTTAAACTTTAAAACAAAGCCAGAAGTACGACCACAATAAAGCCGTAGAGGTGTAAAACGTAGAGGTGTTGTGATATTAGTTTTTTTGGGCAATCTATTACAATTTCCAGCGTTTCCATAAGTAGATATTTGACATTTTTAGGTCATTGGCGGCCATCTTTTTATGACGTCATGAATAGACACTTCCACGTGACCAATTTCGGTAAACTTTTATTATGTTGTTCCCCACAATTGATACGACCAGAAATTACCTTAAAACAATTTCTTGCAATTTGTTTTTGGTGGAAGCGATTATTTCATATTTTGACTAGACTAAAAAATGTAATTAGAAACGTAAAGACATAAATTGCAACAGTATATAGGTGAAGATCAAACAATCATTCGTGAAAACAAAAGACATTATATTTCGCGTTTAGTCGATTGACATAATGAGGAAATTCGAATTTCATGAACAAGATACACATTGACTGCAGAGAGAGCACGAGTAATTTACGTGTGTAAAGAAAATTTGGGAACGATGTAGGCTTACATGTGTTCAAACTTTGTAAACGAAGTAAAAATTTATGATAACCATATGTGTTTCAAAATACGTGTGAATTTTATGTTACTGACGTTAGATATTATTGTTCATTATTGCCGGTCCGTAATCCCAGGTCCATAACGTAAATGGAGCCTTCTGATTGGTTGACGAGAAGCCATTTCGAACACGTTACCAGGCGTACGGGGCTAATGTTTTCCGGGGCAGGGAGTTGAAAGTTTGTCCGAATTTTTATGGAGGGTTGTAGGGAAATGACCTAAATTTAACTTATTTTCTGATCAATCAGCCCGAATTTTCCCCTTGCATTTGGCCGAATTTCCATTTGCAACCCCCCCCCCCCTGCCCCCTGTCTCGTACTCCTATGTATGTGGACCTCTCACGTTTCGCACCAAACCAAACAGAAGCTATTAAGAGTGAAGGCAATTTCGAACTCAAAAAATAACTGATCCAAAAATTTGAAAAACCCTCTTTATAGATACTAAAGATACAAAATAAGCTGAACTGACTTCAATGGATTTAATGTCAAGCCAGAAGTATTCTTTTTTCCGACCAAATGGCGGAAATATCAAGTGTTTCTTTCACATATCAGTATTGGAAAATAAGTGCTAAATGTTTAGTTTCAAAAGTTCAATAAATAGCTATACTTTGAAACAAATACGTTAAAATACAAATACTGGAACCAAGCCAAGGACTAATCCTCAAAAATAAAAAAAATAAAAATACCTTAAGGTTTTATTTCTTTTTTTTTTTTTAATTTTTCTCCCTAGGGTTTCATTTCCGAGGGTTACGTTCTTCGTATATATGTAAACTAAAACTCGTGTGACTTCAAAATACGAACGAACGTTGTGTTTTATAACAAACGTACTTGCAGGGAGGCGAGTCCAGGATTGGACGCACCGAGGGTGGCTGGAAGTTTCCCGAACTTACCGAGCGAAGCGAGGTGATTTCGGGAAACTTCCAGCCACCCGAGGTTCGTCCAATCACGGACTCACCGAACCTGCAAATACGTTTGGTTTTATCCCATACACCGAGCCATACACACATTTGTAGCTCTTCGCGATATAGTCGTCGATGTTTTGTGAACATTTTCCCGTCCAAAAAAATCACTGGGCAAGAAAATAATTCTTTATCTACGTCTAGATTACCTTTATTGCATTTTTTCTTTGGTTTTTCTTCAGTCTCAGTATGTTAGTTACCGAAAAAAATTCTATAAAGTTTAGGTTTATCAGCTAAATCTTGTCCGCCATATTTGTTATTGCTATTGCATGTTGCAACGTGAGCAGTTTCGCGGGTGAGTTCAGGCAAAAAGCAGGTGAGCTCGACGACAAACTCACCTGCTCTAAGCCAATCAGAAAGCCGCTTTTAACACAGGTATGGGATAATATATGGAACTCTTTTTTGAAACAAAAGTGTGAACTTTGCTATAGTTGAAAGCATAAAAAGAGTTCTAAAAGCCAAAACGATACTTGGATGTGATGTTTCCAAAGAAGATAATGTAAACTTGTTTTTTTTTCAAGCGGTATTCTGGAAGTTTTTTGAACCGCCGTACGCGAGGTTCGATCGCGAACATTGGGATATTATATAAAGTTTCCTGAAGAATTTGCAGTGTTTCCTCCACAATCTAGCTGCACTAAATTGTGACAATAAAGATGACTTAAATAATGAGCCCTCTACGGATGAAATGAGCAGGGTCGAAACTCCAAACATACCAATATAAAAACTGAAATTTGAACGGGCATTTTGCGAAAACATCCGACGATAGTACTATAAAGTCTATAAACTCGCATGGGTCCCGGACGAATTTTGACAAACATTTCTCAAATTAATACCAAGAAGTCATAACCAGTAATTACCTAAATATCTTTGCCAATTTTACATGTATAATCCACGCTTAGTTGACCATTAACCGACACAGTTATAAACAGTATATCAAACATAATTTTTATTTTGTGATTTCAAAAAAGTCATGCCTTGTTGTTTTAAGCAGAATGCATGTACACGTCAGTTGTGGCATTAAATTGTTCGCGTAAACATCTAGTAAAAATTGCTAAAATTAAACCCAAATTTCTCTGTTTTCCTTCGGTAAAATTTTTTAAAACTTTGCACATTTTTTAATATCGGCACAACAAGTGCAATATCCTTTTTTCTTAAAATTTAAATCGAAAGGAAAATTTTTAATATTGATTATTGACGTTTTTTAAATTTTCTAAGAAACGTATCGATTTAATTTTTTAAATTGGGGGGAAAAAATTATTATACATGTATTATCTTTTATGCAAAGTTTTAAAAAATTTCATCTAAGGGAATTTTTAAAATGACCTGAAAAAGACAAATTTTGAGCTTTATTCTAAGCATGCTGTTGCCATGACAACATATTTTTAACACAAAAGTAGCAATTTGCAATGTTCAGGAGAACATTGTTAATGTGTCCAAAAAATTTCGTTTTCAGTGAATAAACAGGAGTCTGCTGAATACTATAGTGTAGTAAATTAAAAAACCCTAGGGAGCCACCTTAATTAGACGGCAGATTAAAAATGGCCAGTTTAGACTCATTTCGGTCATATATTTTTTATAAATGTTATCATTGTTCTGTCGAAAGAACATTTTTGAAGCGTGTCATATATGCTAAAATGATCAGGAACATAAATAGTTTATTCACTTTACCTTTTTATTGTTTTGCTGAGCAGAAAAGCATCTATTGCATACAAAATAGAGGGCTTTTATCGTGTCGTTTTAGCAATAGGTCAGTCATTCTTGTAGTAAAGTAACGAGCACATCTGATCTCAAATCTAGTTCGAACAATGGAGGTTTTAGTGTGTTTACATGTTACGTTTGCATCCCTTGACATCCGGTTATATCTTATTAATTAATATGTTTGCTGACACAGAGCGGTGAGAATGTTATAGCGAGGTTTTGTATAGAAAAGTTTCTAGCCGCTTGTCTTCATGAAAATGAGAGAGCGATTCGGACTTCCTGAAGATAATCCTACTCGGCACTAATTTTGGTTGAATTGCCGAGTGAGGCAAAGAAGGCGTAGGGAAACGCGAGGTGTCAATTATAACAATCTATATAACCCGTTTTTGATGTACTACAGATAATCATAATGCAAAAACCCAAAAAACAAAATAAAGCTATACTCCCGAAAATTTGCTGCTTGAACGCACGCTCAATTAATTAATGGAAAGGTTGAGGAATTTGCAGCAGATAGTCCGTCAACAAAATTCATATGGCTGCAATTACGGAGTCTTGGTTGACTGATGAGATGGGGAACAATATCAGATATTGATTGGCGGGTATGTAGTTCATCGTAAGGACCGGACGCATGGTCTTGGCGCTGTGCGTTTATGTGTTTCAGCAGATACTCATTACGCGATACTTGGAATTAGAGGACTTAAATCTAGAGTGTATGTGGTTGTGGACTCGACCACCACGCCAACGAGACCGTTATCTGCAATCGCAGTATGTTTAGTGCATAATCCACCGGACAAAAGTGTGCAAGAACACAGGGAACTTTGCGATTACCTCGTGTCCCCTACTGATACTATACGCTCTAAATACCCTGATTGTGGCATAGTCATTTTAGGTGATTTCAATCATCTCAATGTTCAGGATTTAGTTATAAGTCACAACCTTAAGCAAGTCGTTACACGTCCGACTAGACAACATTCTATCCTAGACTATATTATTGCGAACTTGAAATATTTTTATAAAACACCGGAGATTTCTGCTCCACTTGGAACATCGGACCATAATGTAATCATGTGCATCCCAAAAAATATTTCTAAGGATAATAATAATACGAGTACAAAGCGGACTGTGCGTCGGTATCCCAGGTCGGGGTTGAATGGCTTTGGTTTATGGTCAACCAGGAATGGATGGTTTAGTAGAGTTGGACTCACTCCATCGTCGGATCAGTTAGCGTTATCTTTTTACCAATGATCTGAAAACTGCAAGCGATTATGTTTTCCAGTGAACACAAACAGATTTCATCCCACGGACAAACCATGGATTCCTGGGGCCGCTTGTACGAAAGGTGGATAAATCGCTATCCGGTGGATAAGTCCCTATCCAGCGGCTAAATTTTATCCGAAGTGAAAATCGCGTTGTACGGAAAAAATGCACTATCCGTTGGATAAATTTATCCGATGTCCGGAGGTAGTTTAAATCCAGTATCCGGCGGATAAATTCAAAGTTTGAAGACAAAACAATGTGTATTTCATTTAAAAGGGATTGCTATTGTGATAGAAATGAACAAATACCGTTTAGAAGTCCCTTTTTTGACACTAAATAAACATGGAAACTTACTTATGACTTCTCTTGCTCTTGACGTACCGAGCTCACTTTGAGTCACTTGCCCATTAAATGCCATGACTATTCCATATTTTACGCAGACCAGTGCCAGTGCTTAGACGTTAAGTTTTCTGGCATTTTTCCTTCTTTTTTTCTGTCATATAGCTTGAAAACAAGGAATAAAACTTTCGTTAAATGAGTTCCCTTCAACGCCAAACAAATATAGTTGCATATATAAAATAGACTAGAAACACATGCATGCAATAACCCCTCGCCTGTTTTCAAAAGATGTATACTCAGTGCCGTTGCGAGCACTTCGTCTCAGGGGGGGGTCGGATGCAAATCTACTTAAATTTACCTAAAAGTGCACTGGAAATCTACCTGAAATTCCTCATGAGCAATTATCAGGGGTGTTGCACCGCCCCCGGCCCCACCCAGTGAGTTTCAAGCAAACACTCTCTGATTTATTGTTCATGTATATCACCTCCCAAAATATTGTGCATCATACTCTAGAGCATTTTGCTGTTGTCATGCTCTAGCGTGGTTCAAATTTATGAATTTTTATTATATAAAGTATAGTGTTTTATAGAGATTTCGAGCACTGATAAAAATGATAATCTCACATGTGAAATTATTCATGATAATCTCGCATACTGAAAATTATCGCTTTTCAATTATCGCTTTTCTCTAAAAATTATCGCTTTTCAAAGACTGTCCTTTATATAATAAACAGAAAAATACATGGGTGGTTGGAAATACCAGGTTTATTTTTCGTGTTGAACATGACATCTCACTCGTTTGCTGCGCTCACTTGTGAGATATCATGTTCAACACTCGAAATAAATCTGGTATTTCCAACCACCCATGTATTATTCTCTATTTAAACTACAACTTGACTGGTTTAAATTATTATCAAGTTATCATCGATTGTAAAAGTTGCAGATAGAAGTGTTTTGTTTTGTATTATTATCAAGTTATCAGTGATCGCAAAACCTCCAAATCCTTAATTTCAAATGCCCCGCCGGGGCTAAGGTTCGAGTGGAAATGCTCAACCCCCAGGATGTGCTTTACAGGAAAATGGCTGGGCGAGGGGGATAAGCACACTTGGATTTGGCTGATGCATTAAAAGTCATGGAAAAAGAAAAAACTTTTCATATTGCTACTATAAAATGGCTTATTGTGCTTATTCCTGTGCTTATTCCAGACTGCTTGTCAAATATTTACTTGCTAGAAGTAGAAATTTACTCTGACCACTGGATGAAGAAGACATTAAATAAATACTGGCCAATAAACAGAAATCTATTTTATTGCATACTATTACAGTTTTATTTTTATACTATAAAAATAAAATATAAACATGCAGCATAGAATATGCAAATTCGAGGCAAAATTATTGTTGAATCGGTTTATTTATAGGATTTTATAACAAATAGCAACTATAAAAGTTTAATATACCTTCTCTTCACATCGCTTTATTCTGTTAGCCAATGGCGGCAATGCTTTTAAATTTACATATTTTAGAATCAGTTCCTTTCCTGGTAACTGCATTTCTAAATGAAATCATCGTGAGTAGTGAGTGCTGAGCAGGCCGTTTTACAATAAACAAATTTTAGGAATTGGTAACAACTTTGAAAAATGTATCGTTGCACATTCGGTCAAAACATTCGGTCACAGTCGGAAAATGTTCATAGTATGTTGTACCATCGCTTGCAACAAACAATGAACAGTCGCTCATAAAAACATTCGCGTGGTTAGAATCTTCAATGTTTGTCAAGAACAACAACACTTAATTGTTGTTTCCCATGTGTACAATAATAAGTGACAAAACTTTGTGTGGTCTGAACGTGTTGGGCTAGAGACCTACTGAAAACCTTTACAGGCTTTTTAATGAAAATAGAGAATATTTTATCTGCAACTGTTCACCCTTAGTTGCAACCGACGGTATTTGACAGCATAAAATTGCCTGTGGCTGTGATAACTGAAATAAATAAAATATAGTCTGGTTATACTGACGTGAGCGTGTCATGACAAACACTTTATTGGAAAATTGTGAAGAAACAGTTCAATATAGAGGGTCGAATATCATACTTCAACTTGTATAGCTACAGTATTATTGGTACATAGCGTTGTGAAGACAAGCCTTTGCTTACCTTTCGCTTCAGCAGTCTTTCCCATGCTTCTCTACGCTTTCCCAGGCGAGCTTCTCTTTCCTCAGCAGTCTCCTCGAGCAAACGTTGTCGTCTTCGCTCCCTCCTTTTCGTTAGACGCTCGGCTTTCTTGTCGTTTCCTTGCCGCTCTTCATATGGCTCCATATCTTTTCAATTGGTATTTGATACCGTAATTGTTTTGTTAAACTTTTTATAGAACAAATTGCTTTGAAAGCTGTCAAAGTTTTTTGCAAACGTACAAAA